GGTGAAGTGCCTTGGTAATGGCGGACGCCTCTCCCCCACAGAGCTGGATCGTCCTGGGTTCAGCTGCGCTTGCTGTGAAACTCTCAATCCAGAGAGTTTCTGATTGCTGTTCTTTTGTAGGGGTGGGTCCAGCCAAACCTTATCCCCTGGCTCCCTGCCTCAGAGGCTTTTTTTTTTTTTTTAAGTTGGTGTTCCTGTCACCTGTTGAAGAGGCGCTGTGATCTGTGTGTATTCCCCTGCGACGACTCACTGTGCTGGCTTAAACAGCGGCACTGAGATTTGTGGCGCTTGTTTTTGCCCTGGAATCTACAGTCCTAGTTCCCTGTTCAGTCCCCTTTTTAAACAGATGAATGGGTGACTTCCCGTGGCTCCAATTGCCAGCCAAAAGGGCACCCGGACCAGTGTATTTTGTACAGAGAACCGCTGCACCTGGGCACTGACAAAGCAGCTGCATGGGGCAAAGCATGGCTCCGGCCAACACAGCTGTGCTGGCCAAAAGAGCCGTGCTGGCAACCCATGGAGTTCCTCCACCTGGGAATTTCCTAGTCTGTGGAAAATAAAAATGTGGTGTCCACTCACCCTCTGCGCTTTCACTGGGAGCTGCAATCCTGAGCTGTTCCTAAACGGCCACCTTGGATCCAAGGCATAAGTATTATTAAAGATAATTGTTAGAATCATAGATATTAGAAATAGAAGGGACTTAAAAGTTAATATAGTTTTTCTCATTTTGCAATGAAAAACTTCAGAACCTCAGGGGTTAATTGATCTATGCACATTTGTACAACTAATGAAATGGCAGAGCCAGAATAATATTTAACTTTTTTAAAAAATTTTACTTTAAGCCCCAGGATACATGTGCAGAATGTGCAGGTTTTTTATATAGATATACATGTGGCATGTTGTTTTGTTGCAGCTATTAACCCATCCTTAAATTTCCCTCCCCTAGGCCCCCACCCACCAACATACTCTGATGAGAGTTGTTTGCCTTACCATGTCCATTGGTTCTCATTGTTTAGCTCCCACTTATGAGTGAGGACAGGCAGTGCTTAGTTTTCTGTTCCTGTGTTGGTTTGCTGAGGATAAAGGCTTCCAGCTTCATCCATGTCCCTGCAAAGGACATGATCTCTTTCTTTTTTATAACTGCATAGTATTCCATGGTATATATGTACCATATTTCCTTTATCCAGTCTATCATTGGTGGGCATTTGGGTTGATTCCATGTTTTTGCTTTTGTGAATAGTGCTGCAGTTAACATACATGTGCATGTATATTTATAGTAGAATGATTTATGATCCTTTGGGTATATACCCAGAAATGGGATTTCTGGGACAAATGCTCTTTCTGGTTCTAGATCTTTCAGGAATTGCCATACTGTCTACCACAATGGTTGAATTAATTTACATTCCCACCAACAGTGGAAAAGCATTTCTATTTTGCCACAGCCTCAACAGCATCTACTGTTTCTTCACTTTGTAATAATTGCTGTTCCGACTGACATGAGGTGGTATCTCATTGTGGTTTTGGTTTGCATTTCTCTAATGACCAGTGATGATGAGCTGTTCACATGTTTGTTGGCTGCATAAATATCTTCTTTTGAGAAGTGTCTGTTCAAATCCTTTGCCCAATTTTGATGGGGTTGTTTGGTTTTTCCTTGTAAATTTGTTCAAGTTCTTTGTAAATTCTGGATATTAGACCTTTGTCAGATTGGTAGATTTTAAAAACTTTCTCCCATTCTGTAGGTTGCCTGTTCACTCTATTGATAGTTTCTTCTGCTATGCGGAAGCTCTTTAGTTTAATTAGATCCCATTTGTAAATTTTTGCTTTTGTTGCAACTGCTTTTGGTGTTTTTGTCATGAAGTATTTGCCCATGCCTTTGTCCTGAATGGTATTGCCTAGGTTTTCTTCTTGGATTTTTGTGGTTTTGAGTTTTACATTTAAGCCTTTAATACATCTTGAGTTATGTTTTGTATAAGTTGTTAGGAAGGGGTCCAGTTTCTCTTTTCCACTAGCCAGTTGTCCCAGCACCATTTATTGAGTAGACAATCCTCTCCTCATTGCTTGTTTTTGTCATGTTTGTTGAAGGTCAGATGGTTGTAGATGTGTGGTGTTATTTCTGAGGCCTCTGTTCTGTTCCATTGGTCTATATGTCTGTTTTGGCACCAGACAATATGCTCTTTTGGTTACTGTGCCTTGTAGTATAGTTTGAAGTCAGGTAGCATGATGTCCCCAGCTTTGTTCTTTTTGCTTAGGATTGTCTTGTTTTTACAGGGTGCTTTTTGATTCCATATAAAATTTAAAGTAGTTTGTTGTTGTTGTTGTTGTTGTTGTTTTTCCTCATTCTAGGAAGAATATCAATGGTAGTTTGATGGGAATAGCATTGAAACTGTAAATTACTTTTGGCAGTGTGGCCATTTTCATGATATCAAGTTTTCCTATCCATGAAGATGGAATGTTTTTACATTTGTTTGTGTCCTCTTTTATTTTTTTGAGCAGTGGTTTGTAGTTCTCTTTGAAGAATTCCTTCACATCCCTTGTTAGCTGTATTCCTAGGTATTTTATTCTCTTTGTAGCAATTGTGAATGGAAGTTCACTCATGATTTGACCCTCCACTTGTCTATTTTTGGTTTAAAGGAATCCCTGTGATTTTTGCACATTGACTTTGTATGCTTAGATTTTGCTAAATTTGCTTATCAGCTTAAGGAGTTTTTGGACTAAGAATCATGGGGTTTTCTAAATATAGAATCATGTCATCTGCAAATAGAGGCAATTTGAATACCCTCTGTTCCAATTTGAATACCCTTTATTTCTTACCCATGCCTGATTGTCCCGGCCAGAGCTTCCAATACTATGTTGAATAGGAGTGGTGAGAGAGAACACATTTGTCTTGTAGCAGTTTTCAAAGGGAATGCTTCCAGCTTCTGCTCATTTAATATGATATTGGCTGTGGGTTTGTCATAAATGGATCTTGCTATTTTGAGATATATTTCACTAATACCTAGTTTATTGACAATTTTTAAAATGAAGTGATGTTGAATTTTATCAAAAGCCTTTTCTGCATCTATTGAGGTAATCATACGGTTTTTGGCTTTGGTCCTGTTTATGTGATGGATTATGTTTCCTGATTTGCATATGTTGAACCAGCCTTGCATGCCAGGTATGAAGCCAACCTGATCATGGTGGATAGCATTTTTTATGTGCTGCTAGATTCAATTTGCCAGTACTTTATTGAGGATTTTTGTATAGATGTTCATTAGAGATATAGGCCTAAAGTTTTCTTTTTTTGTTCTGTCTCTGACAGGTTTTGAAATCAGAATCATGCTGGCTTCATAAAATTAGTTAGGGAGGAGTCTCTCCTTTTCAGTTGTTTGGAATAGTTTCAGAAGGAATGGTACCAGCTCCTTGTTGTATCTGTGGTAGAATTCAGCTGTGTCTGTCTGGTCATCTTAGAATTTGTTATTAGTCCAGACAGGGATTCAACTTCTTCCTAGTTTAGTCTTGGGAGGGTGTGTGTGTCCAGGAATTTGTCCACTTCTTCTAGATTTTCTAGTTTATTTGCATAGACATGTTTTTAGTATTCTCTGGTGGTAGATTGTATTTCTATGGGGTCAGTGATGACATCCCCTTTATCATTTCTTATTGTGCCTATTTGATTCTTCTCTCTTTTCTTCTTTATTAGTCTTGCTAGAGGTCTATTTATTTTGTTAGTTTTTCAAAAAACTAGCTCCTGGATTCATTGATTTTTTTGAAGAATTTTTCGAATCTCTAAGGCCTTCAATTTTATTCTGATCTTAGTTAATTTTTGCCTTCTGCTAGCTTTTGGACTAGTTTGCTCTTGCTTCTCTAGCTTTTTAAATTGCGGTGTTAGGGTGTCAGTCTAAGATCTTTCTAGGTTTCTTATGTGGCCATTTAGTATTATACATTTCCCTCTTAACACTATTTTAGCTGTGTCCCAGAGATACTGGTACATTGTCTTTTTGTTTTCCTTGCTTTCAAAGAACTTCTTGATTTCTGCCTTAATTTTATTATTTTCCCAGGAGTCCTTCAGGAGCAGATGTTCAGTTTCCATGTAATCGTTTGGTTTTGAGTGAGTTTCTTAATCTTCAGTTCTAATTTCATTGCACTGTGTTCTAAGATACCGTTTGTTATGATTTCTGTTCTTTAGCATTTCCTGAGAAGTATTTTACTTCCAATTATGTGATCAATTTTAGAGTAAGTGTCATGTGGTACTTAGAAGAATGTATATTCTATTGATTTGGGGTGGAGAGCTCTGTAAATGTCTGTTAGGTTCACTTGAACCAGAGCTGAGTTCAAGTCCTGAATAACCTTGTTAATTCTCTGTCTCATTGATCTGTCTAATATTGACAGTGGGGTATTAAAATCTCCAACTATTATTCGTTTATTCTAACTCTCTTTGTAGGTCTCTAAGAACTTGTGTTATGAATCTGGGTGCTCCTGAATTGGGTGCATATATATTCGGGATAGTTACCTCTTTTTGTCGAATTGAGCCCTTTACCATTATGTAACACTTTTCTTTGTCTTTTTTGATCTTTGTTGGTGTAAAGTGTGTTTTATTAGACACTAGGATTGTAACCTGTGCTTTTTTTTTTTTTTTTTTTGGTAAATATTCCTCCATATCTTTATTTTGAGCTGATGTGTGTCTTTGTATATGAAATGAGTCTCCTGAATAGAGCACTCAAATAGGTCTTGACTCTTTATCCAATATGCCAGTCTGTGTCTTTTAATTGTCACTTAATTCATTTACATTTAAGATTAGTACTGTTACATGTGAATCTGATCCTGTTTTCATGATGCTATCTGGTTATTGTGCACACTACTTGATGAAGTTTCTTCATTAGTGCTTCCTTTAGGACCCATTGAAAAGCAGGTCTGGTGGTGATGAAATCCCTCAGCATTTGCTTGTCTGGAAAAGATTTTACTTCTCCTTCGCTTATAAAGCTTAGTTTGGCTGGATATGAAATTCTGGGTTGAAAATTCTTTTCTTAAGAATGTTGAATATTGGCCTCCACTCTCTTCTGGCTTGTAGTGTTTCTACTGAGAATTCTGCTGTTAGTTAGATGGGCTTCCCTTTATTGGTGACCTGACCTTTCCCTTTGGCTGCCCTTACCATTTTTTCCTTAACTTCAACCTTGTAGAATCTGATGATAATTTGTCTTGGGGTTGATCTTGTGGATCATCTTTGTGATGTTCTCTGTATTTCCTGAATCTGCGTGTTAGCCTGTCTTGCTAGATCATGGAAGTTCTCCTGGATAACATCCTGAAGTGTGTTTCTCAGCTTGTTTTCATTCTCCTCATCACCTTTGTGTACTCCAATCAATCGTAGGTTCAGTATTTTTACATAGTACCATATTTCTTGAAGGTCTTCTTCATTCTTCTTGTCTTCATGTCTTATTTCAGCAAGGTGGTCTTCAAACTCTTGCATTTTTTCTTCTGCTTGTTGATTTGGCTATAGATAGTTGTGTATGCTTTATGGAGTTCTCATGTTGTGTTTTTCAGCTGCATCAGGTCATTTATATTTCTCTCTAAACTGGTCATTCTAGTTAGCAGTTCCTCTAACCTTTTATCAAGGTTCTTAGCTTCTTTGGATTGCATTAGAACATGCTCCTTTAGCTCAGAGAAATTTTTTTTTATTATGCATCTTCTGAAGCCTACTTCTGTCAATTCATATATCTCATCCTCCGTCCAGTTCTGCACCCCTGCTGGAGAAGCATTGCTGTCATTTGGAGGAGAAGAGGCAGCCTGGCCTCTTGGGTCTTCAGCATTTTTTTTGTTAATTTTTTCTCATCTTCATGAGTTTATCTAGTTTTGATCTTTGAGGCTCCTGACCCTTGGATGGGGTTTTTTTGGGGTCTTTTTGTTGTTGTTGATGTTGGTGTTGCTGCTTTCTGTTTGTTTGTTTATGTTTCAATGGTCAGATCTCTCTCCTTTAGGGTTTCTGTGGCTTGCTGGGTGTCCACTTCAGGCCCTATTCATCTGGTTTGCTCCCATGCCTGGAGATGTCATTAAAGGAGGTGCCTCCCTTGACTGGACAGGGGGAGCTCCCCTGCCCTGTGTGACTCTGAGGTAGGCCACTGCACCACATTGCTCTTCCTTCCTTTCCATGGATCATATCAATTGCATAGTCAGTTCTGATAAGAGAACCTGGATACTTTGGTTGTTGGTGCAGAATTCACATGCTATCATGGTTCATTTTGATGGGAGACTCTGATCACTGCAGCATCTAGTCAGCCATCTTGGAACCCCTAACTCATCTAACTATTAAGCGTTCTTTTCACTGCTCTTAGAACTTTTTAACTACTCTAAGCTCTGCTCTAGCTTCCCTGTAAACCTAATTAAATTTGTTATTCAAAATTCTTTTATTGATTGGCTTAACTTTCATTTAAATCATTCATTTGAAACAACTGAAATCTGACCAAATCATCTTAAATTAAAATGATAATACCAAATCAATAAATTTTTCATTGTTCATCATGGAATGCCCTTAACCTATTCACATAAAAAGTGTTAAAATTAAAATTGTAAGAGTTATTATCTACTTTTCATTTGTACTTATGAAAATTAATAAGATTAATAGATTATATTGTGACTTAGTGTAATGTTGGCTTTATACTCATGTGAAACACTTAGCTTATTACTACTCCTACTACCTCATATTTCTAGTCCTAATGTTGTCATTAAAGAAAAACTCTATTTGGTTCATCTTCAACTATCAATACCATCTCTGAAACACTCCAAATAACATTAGCACCATATAAGAAGAATAATTCAGTTTCATTTTAATGCAGAATCTTTATGGATTCCTGCTAAAGTGTTTAATATAAAATATATGGAATGTTAAATGTTTACCAGTTGACCAAAAAAACATTGAAAAAGGAAAGCCCATTAATATATTTCTAAGTTTAAGCAGAAATAAATGCAATTGTAATACATTCTAAAGCTTTTATTCTCAATGGAAATATTTTTTCCTTTCTGAAGAGAAATTTTTTTTCTCTTGAGAAAAAAAAATTAGTACAATTATAAAGGGAGTTCAATTATTTAACCATTTGCTGCAATTGTTAGTGAATTGAGTTTTTATTTTTATCGCATTTTAGGTTTTGAGATACACATGAAGATCATGCAAGATTGTTGCATAGGTACACACATGGCAGTATGATTTGCTGCCTTCCTCCCCATCACCTATATCTGGCATTTCTCCCCATGCTATCTCTCCCCAACTCCGCATCCCCTGCTGTACTCCTCTATTTCCCCCCGACAGAACCCAGTGCATGATGCTCCCCTCTCTGTGTCCATGTGTTCTTATTGTTCAACACCCACCTATACGTGAGAACATGCAGTGTTTGGTTTTCTGTTCCTGTGTCAGTTTGCTGAGAATGATAGTTTCCAGGTGCATTCATGTCCCTAAAAAGAACACTCATCGTTTTTTATGGCTGCATAGTATTCCATGGTGTATATATGCCACATTTTCCCTGTTCAGTCTATCAGTGATGGACATTGTATTGCTTCCAGGTCTTTTCTATTGTAAACAGTGCTGCAGTGAACATTTGTGTGCATGTGTCCTTATATTCAAATGATTTATAATCCTTTGGATATATGCCCAGTAATGAGATTGCTGGGTCAAATGGAATTTCCATTTCTAGTTCCTTGAGGAATCACCACACTGTCTTCCACAATAGTTGAACTAATTTACACTCCCACCAACAGTGTAAAAGTTTCCTATTTCTTCACATCCTCTCCAGTATCTGTTGTCTCCAGATTTTCTTTTTTTTTGGGGGGGGACGGAGTTTCGCTCTTGTTACCCAGGCTGGAGTGCAATGGCACAATCTCGGCTCACCGCAACCTCTGCCTCCTGGGTTCAGGCAATTCTCCTGCCTCAGCCTCCTGAGTAGCTGGGATTACAGGCACGCACCACTATGCCCAGCTAATTTTTTGTATTTTTAGTAGAGACGGGGTTTCACCGTGTTGACCAGGATGGTCTCGATCTCTTGACCTGGTGATCCACCGGCCTTGGCCTCCCAAAGTGCTGGGATTACAGGCTTGAGCCACCGCACCCAGCTCTCCAGATTTTTTAATGATCACCATTCTAACTAGCATGAGATGGTATCTCAATGTAGTTTTGATTTGCATTTCTCTAATAACCAGTGATGATGAGCATTTTTTCATATGTTTGTTGGCCTCATGTATGTCTTCTTTTATAAATCATCTGTTCATATCCTTCACCCACTTTTGAATGGGCTTATTTGTTTTTTTCTGTAAATTTGTTTTAGTATTTTTAGATTCTGGGTATTAGCCCTTTATCAGATGGGTAGATAGCAAATATTTTTTCCCATTATCTTAGTTGCCAATTCACTAAAATGACTGTTTCTTTTACTGTGCAGAAGCTGTGAAGCTTGATTAGGTCCCATTTGTTTATTTCAGCTTTTGTTGCTAATGCTTTTGGTGTTTTGGTCATGAACTCCTTGCCTATTCCTATGTCCTGAATGGTTTTGCCTAAGTTTTTGTTTAAGGTTGTTATGGTGTTAGCTCTATGTTTAAGTATTTAATCCATCTGGAGTTATTCGTAGTGTAAGGTGTCAGGAAGTGGTCCAGTTTCTGCTTTCTGCACATGGCTAGCCAGTTTTCCCAACACCATTTATTAAACAGAGAATCGTTTCCCCATTACTTGTTTTTGTCAGGTTTGTCAAAGATTGGATAGTTGTAGATGCGTTGTGTTGCCTCCGAGGTCTCTGTTGTGTTCCATTGGTCTATATCTCTGTTTTGGTACCAGTATCATGTTGTTTTGATTACTGTAGCCTTGTAGCATAGTTTGAAGTCAGGCAGTGTGATGCCTCTTTTTTTGTTCTTTTGGCTTAGAATTGACTTGGCTATGTGCGGTCTCTTTTGGTTCCATATGAAGTTTACGGTGCTTTTTTCCAGTTCTGTGAAGAATGTCATTGGTAGCTTGATGGGGATAGCGTTGAATCTGTAAATCACTTTGCACCATATGGCCATTTTCAAGATATTGATTCTTCCTCATGAACATGGAATGTTTCTCAATCTGTTTGTGCTGTCTTTTATTTTGTTGAGCAGTGGTTTGTAGGTCTCCTTGAAGAGGTACTTTATGTTCCTTCTTAGTTGTATTCCTAGGTATTTTGTTCTCTTGGTAGCAATTGTGAATGGCAGTTCATTCTTGATTTGGATCTCTTTCAGTCTGTTATTGGTGTATAGGAATGCTTGTGACTTTTGCACATTGATTTTGTATCCTGAGACTTTACTGAAATTGCTTATCAGTTTCAGGAGATTTTGGGCTGAGATGATGGGGTCTTCTAGCTGTACAGTCATGTTGTCTGCAAATAGAGAAAATTTGACCTCCTCCTTTCGTATTTGAATAACTTTATTTCTTTTTCTTGCCTGATTGCTCTGGCTAGAACTTCCAATACTATATTGAATGGGAGTGTTGAGAGAGAGCATTCTTGCCTAGTGCCAGATTTCAAAGGGAATGCTTCCAGTTTTTGCCCATTCAATATGATGTTGGCTGTTGGTTTGTCATAAATAGCTATTATTATTTTGAAATACATTCCGTCAATACCTAGTTTATTGAGGGTTCTTAGCATAAAGCGCTGTTGAATTTTGTCAAAGGCCTTCTCTGCATCAATTGAGATAATCATGTGTTTTTTGTCTTTGGTTCTGTTTATGTGGTGAATTACATTTTTAGACTTATGTATGTTGAACCAGCCTTGCATCCCTGGGATGAAGCCTACTTGATCATGGTGGATAAACTTTTTGACATGCTGTTGCAATCGGTTTGCCAGTATTTTATTGAAGATTTTTACACCTATGTTCATCATGGATACTGTCCTGAACTTTTTTTTTTTTTTTTTTTGCTGAGTCTCTGCCAGGTTTTTGTATCAGGATGATATTCGTCTCATAAAATGATTTGGGAAGGATTCCCTCTTTTTGGATTGTTTGGAATAGTTTCAGAAACAATGGTACCAGCTCCTCTTTGTATGTCTGGTAGAAATTGGCTGTGAACCCATCTGGACCTGGGCTTTTTTTGGGTGTTAGGCTCTTAATTGCTGCCTGAACTTCAGACCTTCTTATTGGTATTTTCAGGGTTTCAACTCCTTCGTGGTTTGGGCTTCAGAGGATGCAAGTGTCCAGGAATTTATTCATTTCTTCTAGGTTTACTAGTTTATGTGCATAGAGTTGTTTGTAATAATCTCTGATGATGGTTTGTATTTCTGTGGAATCTGTGGTGATATCCCCTTTATGTTTTTATTACATCTATTTGATTATTCTCTCTTTTCTTTTTTATTAATCTGGCTAGTGATCCGTCTATTTTGTTGATCTTTTCAAAAAACCAGCTCCTGGATTTATTGGTTTTTGGAGGGTTTTTTGTGTTTCTATCTCCTTCAATTCTGCTTTGATCTAGTTATTTCTTGTCTTCTGCTAGATTTTGAGTTTTTTTGATCTTGCTCCTCTAGCTCTTTCAATGTTGATGATAGGTTGTCGATTTTAGATATTTCTTCACTTCTCATGTTGGCATTTATTGTTATATATTTTCCTCTAGACAGTGCTTTAAATGTGTCCCAGAGATTCTGGTATGTTGTGTCTTCGTTCTTGCTGGTTTAAAAGAACATCTTTATTTCTGCCTTCATTTTATTGTTTATCCAGTCAACATTCAAGAGCCAGTAGTTCAGTTTCCATGAAGCTGTGAGATTCTGAGTTAGTTTCTCAATTCTGAGTTCTAACTTGATTGTACTGTCATCTGAGAGATGGTTTATTATGATTTCCGTTCTTTTGCATTTGCTGAGGAGTGATTTACTACAAATTATGTGGTGAATTTTAGAGTAGATGTGATTTGGTACTGAGAAGAATGTATATTCTGTTGGTTGGGGAGTTCTGTAAATGTCTATTAGGTTTTCTCGGTCGAGGTCTGAGTTCAAGTCCTGGATATTGTTGCTAATTTTCTGTCTGGTTGATCTAATATTGACAATGGGTTGTTAAAGTCTCCCACTATAATTGTGTGGGAGTCTAAATCTCTTTGTAAGTCATTAAGAACTTGCCTTATGTATCTGGGTGCCACTGTATTGGGTGCATATATATTTAGGATCTTTAGCTCCTCTTGTTGCATTGATTCTTTACCATTATGTAATGTCCTTCTTTGTCTCTTTTGATCTTTGTTTGTTTAAAGTCTATTTTATCAGAGATGGGAATTGCAACTCCTGCTTTTTTTTTTTTTTTTTTTTTTTTTTTTTTTTTTTTTTGCTCTCCATTTGCTTGATAAGTCTTCCTCTATCCCTTTATTTTGAGCCTTTGTGTGTCCTTGCATGTGAGATGGGTTTCCCGGATACAGCACACCAATGAGTTTTGGCTTTTTATGCAATTTGCCAGTCTGCGTCTTTTGATTAGGGCATTTAGTCCATTTACATTCAGGGTTAGTATAGTTATGTGTGAATTTGATCCTGCCATTTTGATGCTAGCTGGCTGTTTTGTCCATTAGTTGATGCAGTTTTTTCATATGGTTGATGGTTTTTGCCATTTTGTATGATTTTTGGAGTGGCTGGTACTTGTTGTCCCTTTCTACGTTTAGCACTTCTTTCAGGAGCTCTTGTCAAGCAGGCCTGGTGGTGATGAAATCTCTGAGTACTTGGTTGTTAGTAAAGGATTTTATTTTTCCTTCACTTATGAAGCTTAGTTTGGTTGGATATGAAATTATGGGTTGAATGTTCTTTTCTTTAAGGATGTTGAATATTGACCCCCATTGTCTTCTGGCTTGTAGGGTTTCTGCTGAGAGATCTGCTGTGAGTCTGATGGGCTTCCCTTTGTGGATAACCCGACCTTTCTCTCTGGATGTCTTTAGCATTTTCACCTTTATTTCAACCCTGGTGAATCTGATGATTATGTGCCTTGGGGTTGCCTTTCTTGAGGAATATCTTTGTGGTGTTCTCTGTATTCCCTGGACTTGAAAATCGACCTGCCTTGCTAGGTTGGAGAAGTTTTTCTGGATAATATCCTGAAGAGTATTTTCCAACTTGGATTCATTCTCTCCATCACATTAAGGTACACCTGTCAAACGTAGATTAGGTCTTTTCACATAGTCCCATATTTCTTGGAGACTTTCTTTATTCCTTTTTACCCTTTTTTCTCTAATCTTGCCTTCTCGTTTTATTTCATTGAGTTGATCTTCGACCTCTGATATCCTTTCTTCTGCTTGGTCAATTCGGCTGTTGAAACTCGTGTATGCTTCACGGAGTTCTCGTGTTGTGTTTTTCAGCTCCATCCATTCACTTATATTCCTCTCTAAGTTGTTTATTCTTGTTAGCATTTCATCAAATCTTTTTTCAGAGTTCTTAGTTTCTTTGCATTGAATTAGAACATGTTCTTTTGGCTCACAGAAATTTCTTATTACCCACCTCCTGAAGCCTGATTCTGTCAATTTATCACACTCATTCTCCATCCAGCCTTGTTCCCTTGCTGGTAAGGAGTTGTGTTCCCTTGTAGGAGGAGAGGCGTTCTGATTTCAGTTGCTTTCATCCTTTTTGTGCTGGTTTCTTCCCATCCTGGTAGATTTGTTTACCTGTCATTTTTGTAGTTGTTGACTTTCAGATTGGGTCTCTGAGTGGAAGTCCAGTTTGTTGATGATGAAGTTATTTCTTTTCGTTTCTTAGTTTTCCTTCTAATAGTCTGGCCCCTCTACTTTAGGACTGTTGAGGACCATTTCAGGCCCTGCTTGCCTGAGGAATCACCTGCAGTGGCTGCAGAACAGTAAGGGTTGCTTCCAGTTTCTTCTTCTGCTATATTTGTCCCAGATGGATACTTGCCAAATGTCAGTCTGATCTCTTCTTTATGAGGTGACTCTTTGGATCTACGGGGGTCAGGGAGATGCTTGAGGAGACAGTCTGTCTTTTATAAGAGCTCAATTGCTGAGCTGTGAGCTCCTGCCCAGCAAGGAGGCAGCCTAGTCAGTCTGCCTGCAGAGGCTTTGTTGAGCTGCTGTGGGCTCTGCCTGGCTGCCATGTGAACGTCCGTGCAGTCCTCTTTATGCGGGTATAGTTAGAACTGTCTCAGCAATGGCAGCCCGCCTCTATAATGGTGGATTTTGTCTGTAATGGTGGGCTGCCTTAGCAATGGCCGGCTGCCTCAGCAGTGTCTGACTACCTCCATAGTGGTGGATTGCCTCGCTAATAGCTGACGCTCCTCCCCCACTGAGCTGAACCGTCCTGGGTTCAGCTATGCTTGCTGTGAAACTCTCAATGCAGAGTGTTTCCGATTGCTGTATTTTTGTGGGGATGGGACAAGCTGAGCCTGATCACCTGTCTACCTGCCTCAGAGTCCTTTTTTTTTTTAGTTGAATGGGTGACTCTGTCCTCCAAGTGTTCCAGTCACCTGTTGAAAAGGCACCAGGATCTGTGTGATTTCCCATGCAGTGACCCACTGCACCAGCTGAAACAGTCACACTGAGATTTGTGGCACTTTTTTGCCCGGTAATCTCCTGGCCTGGCTCCTTGTTTCAGTCCCCATTTTTATCAGTTGAACGGGTGACTCTTTCTCCCAGGAGCTCCAATTGCCAGCTAAAGTGATGCCTGGACCTGTGTATTTTGTGCAGAGAACTGCAGCACTGGCCAAAATAGCCACACCGGCCAAAACAGTCATGGTGGTGACACATGGGGCTCCTGTGCCTGGGAATCTCCTGGTCTGTGGCAACAAAAATCTGTCTGGGAATGTGGTGTCCACTCACCCTCCATGATTTTGCTGGGAGCTGCAATCCTGAGCTGCTCCTAATCGGCCATCTTGGATCTGTTCCGAGTTTTGGTTTTTTTTGCGGACACAGTAACGTGTGAAGAATATTCTAAGTTTAACATTAAAAATAGTATTATGTATATATCAATAGAACTACTGTTATCCATAAGAAAACTACTTAAAAAATGTCATAAACTGAAATCTGACCTTTTTTCCCCGATGTAGTTAGTAAAATATATTTTAAAGCTTTATTCTCAATGAAAATATTTTTCAATTCTCAATAGAATTTTTCTCTTGAGAAAAAAATTTAGTACAATTTTAAGGGGAGTTCACTTATTTAACCTTTTTGCTGTAGTTCTTAGTGAATTGAGTTTTTATTTATTTATTTATTTATTTTGAGACGGAGTTTCACTCATGTTACCCAGGCTGGAGTGCAATGGCGCAATCTCAGCTCACCACAACCTCCACCTCCTGGGTTCAGGCGTGAATTGAGTTTTTAATGGACATAGTAACATGTGAAGAATATTCTAAATTTAACATTAAAAATAATATTATATGTATATCAATAGAACTACTGTTATCATGAAGAAAACTACTTAATAAGTCACAAACTCAAATCTGACCTTTTCTCCCCCAGTGTATTTAGTAAAAGAGTGCCCCCTTGTGATTTCTGAATACTTATACAACAGTGAGGTCCACTAATCTTGGGCAAATTTGTTAATTAAGAATTTTTCCTCTCATCCTTAAAATACAACCAACACTTTATTTTTGCACATGAAACTATTTTAATTTTAAATTTATTTTACTGGAAGTAGAAAGAAAATGTTTCATGGAGATTTATCAGAAAGTAGTTTTAAGAAAACCACTAAACATTCCAGGACGCCTGCTCACAGAATGCATATACTGCTGCTGTTTTCCATTTTTATGCCCACGTAGGTGGCTCTCTAGAGACAGAACACTGTTTCTATAGAATAAACCTACTGAGCTTATATTGATTGGAATTTTCCTGACCGTACGGCATGGCTCTGACGTGTTTTGTGCTTACTTTTCATTATGAACCTAGGACACCACAGATAGGACCATATGTTCCTCTGAGTCCTCAGTGGAACTCCCAGGGATACCAACAGGGAGTAGTGTAGATCCAAGAAGCAGCAGAGCTCACATTGAGACTGGGGGTGCCATGACTTTGGGAACATTGGCTTATGTCTATCTGAAACACTGGAGGACATTCAATACACCATTAAAATGAATGTAGTACCAATAAGAAATTGTGAAATTAGGTCAGTGGAAGACTGGGGATTTAATATGAAATTACTAGGCTAATTTGACCATTGTTTACCCTCAGTCAATAATGTATGAGCAATGTTGTTAATTAAGGTTGCTGAGTATCATAATTCTCTGGAAGGACAAAATATTTATATGTAATAAAACAGCTTAGTCTGAAATAACATTGGACTCTCCATTTCTAACCATGAACAAAATGATCTCTCAATTTAATTAGTCCAAAAATAATATTGAAGGACAACTTCACAGTTTGGTAGAATAAAAGGGTGATTGATAGATGAGGGAGGCTAAAAAGAATACTAGGCTTTCTAGTTAAAGTCAATTTTTCAGAGGTAGATCAACTTTTTAAGGCTTGTAACAAAAGCTGAAAATATAACCAACTCTATCAATGGTAGATATTTTTCAGATTATTGATATTTCACAGTCATCAAAAAAAAAAAGAACATTTGCAAGTGAAAGTACAAGAAAAAGAAATCTGTTTTCTGTGAACATTTGCCTAGACCCGAGTTTCTTAACAGGGCTGGAGCAGTTTTATGCCAGGGAACACTTGGCACTATCTTAGGATATTTTTGATTGTCACAGAAAAGTGAAAATATTACTGGTGTCTAGTGAGTAGTGGCCTTAAATGTTGCTAACTGTCCTAGAATTCACAGAATAGTTACCAATAGTAAGGAATTTTCTGATCCAAATAGATAGACTTGCCATTTTAGATTTTAATAAACTATAAGGCTCACCACTCCTATTCAATACAGTATTGGAAGTTCTAGCCAGAACAATCAGACAAGAAAAAGAAATAAAGGGTATTCAAAAATGAAAGGAGGAAGTCAAATTGTCTCTATTTGCAGACAACATGATTGTATAGCTAGAAGACACGATCGTCTCAGTTCAAAATCTCCTGAAACTGATATGCACATTCAGTAAAGTCTCAGGATACAAAATCAATGTGAAAAAATCACAAGCATTCCTATACACCAATAACAGACTGAAAGACAGCCAAATCAAGAATGAACTATGATTCACAATTGCTACCAAGAGAATAAAATACCTAGGAATACAACTAACAAGGAACGTAAAGGACCTCTTCAAGGAGAGCTACAAACCACTGCTCAATAAAATAAGAGAGGACACAAACAGATGGAGAAACATTTAATGTTCATGGTTAGGAAGAATCAGTATCATGAAAATGGCCATACTGCCCAAAGTAATTTACAGATTCAAAGCTATCCCCATCAAGCTACCAATGACCTTATTCACAGAACTGGAAAAAAACACCTTAAACTTCATATGGAACCAAAAGAGAGCCCACATAGCCAAGTCAATTCTAAGCCAAAAGAACAAAACAGGAGGCATCACACTACCTGACTTCAAATTTCAAGGCTACAGTAATCAAAACAGCATGGTACTGGTACCAAAACAGAGATATAGACCAATGGAACAGAACACAGGCCTCAGAGGTAACACAACACATCTACAGCCATCCGATCTTTGACAAACTTCACAAAAACAAACAATGGGAAAAAGATTCCCTGTTTAATAAGTGGTGTTGGGAAAACTAGCTAGCCATGGCAGAAAGCAGAAACTGGACTCCTTCCTGACACCTTACACTAAAATTAACTCCAGAGGGATTAACGACTTAAACATAAGGCCTAACACCACAAAAACCCTGGAAGAAAACCTGGGCAAAACCATTCAGGACATAGGTGTAGGAAAGGACTTCATGACCAAAACACCAAAAGCGTTGGCAACAAAAGCCAAAATAAACAAATGGGAACTAATCAAACTCCACAGCTTCTGCACAGGAAAAGTAATAGTCATTGGAGTGAATCAGCAACCAATAGAATGGAGAAAAATTTTTGCAGTCTACCCATCTGACAAAGGGCTGATATCCAGAATCTACAAAGAACTAAAGCAGATTTACAATAATAAAA